GTATTGCAATTAACAAAAAAGTCATCATCCATTTTGTCGCGGAGTGTTGTCTTTAAAAGTTTCACGGCAGAAAATGATCATTCTATTGTTGTAGTGAAAACAATAAGATCAATACAAAGCGAATCAATATGCTGATCATAACATGTGAAACAGATCTTTTGCTCTTAGTCAACTGCTCACATAATTCAACAAGTGTAGATACTCGAAACTTTGTATCATGAATCACATCATGAGCATAGTGTTGTCGCTCGAATTCAAAAGCATTACTAAAACCTTCGGGATAGAACTTCCTTGCAAGAGATTACAAATAGCATCGGCATTGAATGACACATATGAACTTTCGGGATCCAATGAAGCACTCAAAGAAAGGAGTTTGATCCATTGATTTATCATTAAACCGAGTCCTTAACTTCAACAATACAAAGTCTATTGCCTCATTGAAAACATCAAAGTGATAATGAATGCTCAAGTGTAGTTTATTTTCGGCAATGACCAACCATATATTTAGAATTCAATTTCGGTACAAGAATTTCTTTTTTGAGCAAAACTCCTTTGCTTCTTCAAGAAAGCCTTCATATCTATTTTATGTCACTTCCCCGAGAATGAGTTGTGTAGTAGAAACATGTCTCATTGCTATCAAGATATCCAATAATTGTTTGAAGGTCTTGACAAAGAATACTCGTTATATCAAAAGTGAATTGAACACAAATTCAAAACATGGAAAGTATCTATATACACTATGAACTTCTGCCCAAGAACTCACTTTTGGGCAATGTTCTTGAATATACTCAAACACTTTACAAGTTGATGTGAATCATATTTGAATCATATTTTATTGCATTTATTACATTTATTCCTTTTGGGCTTTACGGCCCTTATACGATGTACAAATGTGCCTCTTGTTAAGTGGGAGGTAATTCGTATAACATTTAGATTAGATTTTTAGATGGAATGATTTTGTTTTATGGGTTGGGCTGAAAAATTGGATTGGGCTATAGAAAAATTTGGGCTGGGCTGGATAGAATTTTGTGAAAATAATACCTTAAAAAAATTAATTTCTTTTACTTTGCCCTGGGCTTCAGCCCACCATAGCCCTAACATAGATCCTCTCCTGTCCCTTCCAATCATAAAAATATGTCGGGGCTGATCTCCAACGGTAGGGTTGACAGGAGCTGGCCACTGGGGTTGCTTTGCGCACGCCCACTCTTACTAAACGTAACATGCTCTGACCATCTTGCCCTTTTAATTATTAAATTCAAATTAATTACTAAGAAGTAAAATTGATGTTGTGGCAAATATACTTCATTTTTATAAAATGTTACGTAGTATAACATTTTCATTTTTGATCCAATTTTTATAAAATTTATATCGAATTAAATAATTTTTTATGAGCTTTCATATGACACCAATATTATATAGTAAATACTTTTATAAAAAAAACATATCAGGTCTCATGAACGGTTGATAAATGTGTATTTCTACGGAGTATTTTGTAAATCTAGACTAGTCTGATTTGATTTGTTTAAATTTATCTGGATCAACATCAATTCAATTAAAAACATCTTAAATATCATTCACATCCTAAATCTAATCACGTGACACATATGGACGTAATGCGATAGAGTTTTATACGGAGTATTTTACATTTGGAACACTGTGCACGCCTTAAGTTGATAACTATTTTTTACTAGTCATAAGCAGTGGCGGATCCAGCCCGAAAGGTTATTGGGGGCAAGATGTTGTTTTGATTTATCTAAACAAATGTGTACAGACTTTAGAATGTCAATAGTAAAAAGTACCATTACATACATTACTTCTTGAACTTAATATAAAATTATGATTTTCGAAATGGTATTTAGGAAAAACTATTAAATAATGGAAAAATGGTTAGTAAGTGGTTATTTTATTTTGGTAAAAAATGGTTTTGATTTTGAATTTCTAATAAAGTATTAAATATTAGGTGATATGTTCACATTTAATTTATATGTCGTATGTTGCCACGTTTCGTTTTTCTTTTTTATATGTCAATGATGTGCAAATTAATTTTTTTGCTATTTTCATCCAAAGTAAATTAATAAGAGTGCAGAAAAGTATTACAATTAAATTTCAACGATGAAAAGAGTTCATACTTGGTTAGGGAATCATATAGGAAATGGTATAATGTTTAAACTAATGAATTTGTTAGACCCGAAAAATACAAGTAGAAATAGAAGTTATATTGAACTAAAAATCAATTAACTATAAACACTTCAATATACAATTATTAGGACATAGGATAATTATACAACTTCTTTTTTATACTGAATTATTAGGGTTTAGGATAAGCCATCTCATTGAGAAGTGTTTGGTGTTTAAAGATAAAATTAGGGAGATAAAACTATGACATACACACCATCTATCTATATACTCAATCTACGTACTTTGCTAGATTAATTTAATAATCATTTAATAATCATAGCGTACTACATACTAAAGTGGGTGCATGGCCATATAATAAAAATAATAATTTTTTTAGATTTTGATGTAATTTATTATTGATAGTGGTAATAAATGCATTAATTTTAGTCATAATCATACATTATGACTAAATTTAGAAATAGAAATAGATGAAGTATGTTTCCATGTATATGAAGTTAAAATTTACAATTAAAGAAAATTATGATAAAACATTTCTTTTCGTAAATACAATGGAGGGCACTACATTTATACAATATGGAGTATCTTTTAGAGTTTTACTTCGTTGATGTGCTAATTGGGCTAATCAATTTTGCTTTTTATTGGGGGCAATGACATATTTTTATTGGGGGCAAAACTTTCTAATATTAATTTTTTGTAATGGATGTGCTAATTTAATGAGATGCTATTGGGGGCAAGTGCCCCCATTTAGATGAATGTGCATCCGCCCCTGGTCATAAGTACATTGGAAAAGTATAAAAATAAGTCGGATATAGTATATTCTTATATGAGACTAAAAGTGGTTGAAGTGAAAATATTCATTACACTACAAATTTAAACACGATTAAAAAATTATTTTATTTATATTCCATATTAAAAGCTTTTAGACAAATCAAGATATACGTAGTATTAAACTAACATTCTAAAATATAGAATATGTAGAGGAATTAATTTATTATGACACATTAAGTTATAATTATACTACCATTAAGCATGTTTTTAATTGAATTAAAATTTTCTGGTGTAGTCAAATTTAGTATGATCTCGTCTAATTTGATATGTTTAAGTTTGATCTGATCTAGTCTGAACTGTTCTGATATGTTAGATGTATATTCTATGTGTGTTATACAACTATCAAAAGTTGGCCGGATCTGATATAGTCTATTTACGTGTAGTAAGGTTTGGGATCGTATACAGTCAAATTAAAAAACATTCTAAAAAGTGTTAATTATAGTTACTCCACATCACCGTATATGATAATAGAAGATAGACAATATATCAAATATAAAGATGAATGAAAAGTACATATGATTACCCAAATATCACCGAATGTTGTATGCGATAGTGAGGTAGATGAAGTGATTAATAATATTAAGATAAAAAAATACCTCATAAGAATGGAAGTCAAGAGTACAATTTTCCAGACAATCTTCACATTCATCCTCCATTGTGTAAGAAGGTTAAAAAACATATGAGAGCATTATACTATGTGTTGAGGTATATTACCCCGATCTACAATTGTTCAGGAGCCCAATACATCATCCCAGTACAGAGCCCGAATGACGAGGCCCATTTCAGCCTATCAAGCCTCTTTAAGCCCATCCGGCCCATTTTGGCCGACTTGGCTCCTTAGGGTAGACTTATCCCTTAGCCCCCTTTTCCTATAAATAGGAGGCCTTCCCTCCATGTTAGGGGTTGGTCTCTTCCTCCCCACTTCCTCCTCCTTCTCGCTAGAATAGATTAACTAGCAACCACTATTAATGGAAGCTTCATACTTGTACTATGTAATTGGTGGGGAGAGTATTAATGAGAATGCGAGAGCTTGGACATTATTATATTTATATAATCTGAGCCGTCCAAATTTTCAACCTGATGCACAATAAACATTATCTAATGCACTGTGCATTAAAACTTATCTGATGCACTTTTCGAATGCACAGTGCAAAATAAGCATGCTCGAAAAGTGCATCAGATAAGTTTTAATGCACAGTGCATTAGATAATGCTTATTGTGCATCAGGTTGAAAATTTGGACGACTCAGATTAATTCTCATTTTACACGTTATGACTCCTTTTTATTTGAACTCTCCCCTATGTGTGTGTGTATAATTTGTGCTTATCTTCACTCTTTATTTTAAGATATAAATAAATAATTTAGACATCAAAAATACATATTTAGTATATATCATTTTAACTTTTACACATTTCATACATTCATTACGATAAAGTTAGCTAATACGATATATTTATATTTGTCATGTTTGCCGATAACAATAGCAAATTGCATTTATAATTTTTACATCATTCATTTGAATGAAATTGTGAATATTATAACATTTGTACCACCAACCCCTTTAGTTTTTTTTTGAATATTATATGTGATATTATAAATGCTAATCAACTATAATCTTATTTGTTGTGAGAAGTGAATCTTTTTTCTAGTGATTGAAAAACATGTTAGAAGTTTTAATTGATAATATGTATTATTTCTTTTTTATCTTTTATTTCCTTTTACATTTTATTTAAGTAATCAATAAAAGAAGATGAGATGGACTACTACTTTCATTTTATAATTCTAAAATATAAAACTTGATCAAATAAAATAATAAACATAAGAAAACGAATCAAATCAAACTAAACTAAACCTAATACTTTTCACTTTGATAAACCGAACCTCGAACCGAACCAAACCAAATCGAACAGAAAGCGAACCGAAACCAAATTAAAACACAAATGGTTTTAGTTTTTTTACATATTTTCCCAAACTGAATAAACCTAAACAGAAGAAAAACCGTACTACATCTCTTCTTCCTGGAAGATTTAGGGGGTGTTTGGAACCGCTTCTACAATCTGATTCTGCTGTTCCAAGGAGCACTATGAAGCAGAATCAATTTTGTAAGTGTTTGGATCTGATTTTAAAAGTGATTTTAAAAGGCTGAAAAATCAGTTTTGTAGAAGCTGGGTAGTAGCAGCTTCTTCCAAACTGATTCTGCTTCTTCCAATTTTATTCCTAAAAACCCTCGCTCAATTTTATTCCTCTTCTTCGCATCGTCCCACCTGCTAGAGCTTCTCCTACCTGTGCCGCAAGAGCTTCTTCTCCTCCTACCTAAGCAAACTGCGATTTCCAGTTGGCTCTTCTCTGCTCCGTTCCACCGCCCAGCCCAGGTGAACCACGATCCAGTTAGCTCTTCTCTTCTATTGTGGAGTTGTGGATTTTTTTTAATCTCATGTATATTAATTACGGAGTAATACTGAGTATCTTTATTCCATTATTTTGTCTTTGTTAATTCTATATGGTTGTTATTTTCACCATTATTCCATTATTTTGTCTTTGTTAATTCTATATGGTTGTTATTTTCACCATTTACGGTTCTATTGTGAAGTCATTTACGTTTTTTTGCATTTAAGAAACTGTTTATTTAAGTTAGATATTGTATTTTTTTAGTACAAGTAATTTTTTAAGTTATAATTAGTTATATTTGGATTACATTATATAAGTAAATGTTATTATTCATATATCTCTATCTTAGCCTATGTAAATAACAATATTATTTTATATTACAAGGAATGCCTACTATATGCCCTTTTGGTAAATTTACACCAAAATCGGCTTTTGAAAGCAAGTTATCCAAACACTCTAAACTGATTCTCTGTTACATACAGCAGAATCAATACCAAACACTCCAGACAGAATCACTTTTTCAGACAGCAGAAAATTCTGATTCTGATTCTCACTTAAAAAAGAAGCAGAAGCAGAATCAGTTCCAAACACCCCTTACGCGGTTTGATATTGGATGTTCAAGTGCAACTGTGCAAGGAATCTCTTCTTGTTGGTTTTTACTTGCAAACAGTCAAACACATAGGTTGACCACCGATATAATTAATCAATTCCCTAATTCTAATGTTACATCGAACTACTACGTGCTCCGTATTTAGGAACGGAGGAGTCATACCTTAATTTGCCTGTGTTTCAGTTCTGCCTTTTCCCAGATTCGCAGATCAGATCAAACACCTTACTCTTTCAGCTCGATTCTTAAAAATCAGACGGGACAAGAATGTTGAAGTTGAAGGGAGGGACAAGGCCTCCATGGGTGGGACTTGGGGCTTCAGTTTGGCTGCAAATAGCGGCAGGAAATGGATACAATTTCCCACTCTATTCCCACAGTCTCAAATCGGTCCTGGGTTTGAATCAGCAGCAGCTCACCATGTTTGGGGTGGCAAATGATATTGGGGAGAATATAGGCCTCATTCCTGGCCTTGTCTGCAACAAGTTCCCACCTTGGGTTGTCCTCCTCATTGGTGCTTTTGCTTGTTTTCTTGGCTATGGAACTCTCTGGCTCTCTGTTAGTGGTACTGTTACCAACTTGCCTCACTGGCTGGTAAATTAAACTGCTGCTTTTCTTTCTTCTACTTTATTTAATTGTTATTATAGTTTGTCTGGTTGATTGAAATCCTACTGTGCTCTCATTTTATCTGCATTTCTGACTTGAGTTAAATTTGGGTATTTATTCGTATTATTCTTCTGTACAACATCCTGGAAAATATGTTCAGGTTTAAAATATTACCCTCTTCAACCAAAAGAGAGACATGTTGCTACACTTATTTTGTATTCCTGTTTCAATTAAAGAAAGCTAAAACTAAAATGTCGCAAAGCTAATAAAACAAGTCTCTTTAGTTTTTTATTTTATTTTATTTTATCATAACAAGTCTCTTTAGTTATTTATTTAAGAAACAGCATAGCAAAAGTTCCATTGACACCTTTAGAAGGATTGCATGGGTAAAATGGGAAGTTGGAAAATTTATTAGTGATTCTTGGTCACAGGTTTTCACAAAATGTAAGCTTTAGTGCTTTCACTGCTTTGGGATTTTTGGAATATTTTTTTGATAAAAGTATTCTTCTATAATAATTTAAATTGGTGTAGTACAATGTTCTTGATGATTCAGTCCTTTGTCTATTTCTAGTGCATATATATACCACTATATCACCATGGTTAAAGCCCTGAAATGGTTCAGTTGTCTCAAATTTTAAGTTTCGCACTCTTGATCGCACAAGATGGCCTTAACCAATAATCAAACTGTTTATCTTAAGATGAGGCAGATACCGTATGAATATATATGATAAAATGAAGTTCAATGTCCATTTTTATATACTTTTGCTAGCTCTCTTCTTATCTATTGTTTCATAGTTCATACTACCTCTGTTCTTAAATAGTTGCAACATGTTGAGTTTTACACTATCCATGTGTTGTACTTTGATAGCATTTCCCAAAATCTGATTTTTTTTACTAATAAAGAGTGAAATATATCAATGGTCAAAGTTGTGCATTGGCCAACATGAAAATGGGAATTTCGCAACTAAAAGAAAACCTACATGTTGACCATTGGCAGTTATGGATTGCACTTGTAATAGGCACAAACAGCAGTGCATGGTTCAGCACGTCATTACTCGTGACAAACATGAGAAACTTCCCTCTAAACCGGGGAACCGTGGCGGGAATTCTCAAAGGATATGGAGGGCTTAGTGCCGCAGTGTTCACTGAAGTGTACGACGTATTGCTTCACAACTCATCTCCCAATCTGTTGATGTTCTTAGCTATTGGAATTCCTAGCATATGTTTCATCATGATGTTCTGCGTTCGCCCATGTACTCCTTCTTCTGGTGATGACCCTTCAGAGCATTCTCACTTTCTGTTCATCCAAATTGCGAGTGCTGCTCTTGGGGTCTATGTTCTCACCACCACGGTTTTGGAAGATGTTTTCTCATTGAGTGTTCCCGTTTCTTATGTTGTTGTTGTAATCATGGTACTACTCTTGTTGGCCCCACTTGCGGTTCCTGTAAAAATGACTCTCTACCCATCCATTCTTAGCAAGTCTTTCATCCTTGATCAAGACAAGGGTGTTGAAGAACCTCTACTGATGACACTGTCATCATCATCAGCAAACCTGGGAAGTTTTGATGAAGGGGAGGAGATCTCAGAGGTCGATATGCTTCTCGCTGAGGGTGAGGGGGCAGTAAAGAAAAAGAGAAGGCCCAGGAGAGGTGAGGATTTTAGGTTCAGAGAGGCGCTTGTTAAGGCTGATTTCTGGTGTTTATTTTTTGTCAATTTTGTTGGTGTTGGTTCTGGGGTTACGGTGTTGAACAACCTTGCACAAATAGGGATTGCACAAGGTGTTCATGACACCACCATCTTGCTCTCCCTCTTTAGTTTCTGCAATTTTCTGGGTCGTCTTAGCGGTGGGATCATTTCCGAACATTTTGTCAGGTTTGTAGAATTACTCTTATATCCTTGTAGTTTATTCTGTGGTACTCTCTCTAGTTAAATGAATTTGTAATATTAGAGCAAAACCCCTTTTAAAGTCATGGCTACATATTAAGACTTGGGGTTTGATTTTAAAAGAGTTAACTTGATTAGAGTAGTCTAATGCTTTGTGTGTTGGCTTGTAATTTTATATTTGACTGGTGTTGGATAACTTAACAGTTACCAGCAAATACTTGCATGTTAAGAATGAGGTTGGGTGTAACTCAATCGGAAAAGATTATGAATATCTTATTTTGGTTATTAAAAGATCCTTCATTGACATTTAGGCAATGTGGATAAGACACTTCTATCTAGAGTCTGGACTGTGTTACTTTCTCTTTTTCATTGTACTATTCTACAGCGCAACTGTAATGGTAAGAAACATCATTTGTCTAGTCATGAACTTTCCTCTCATATGGGACCTACAAGATAGCTATTGGCTATTGCCTGCAAGTTATACAAAGTAACATTTGAAGTTTTAGGACGGAAGTACACCAAATGGTAATATTGTATTAGAACTAATTAAGCACGAAATATAAGAGCATCAAGTTACTATTACTACTCTTACCTGGTTGATCTTCTTTATTGAGGTTTGTATTACCATATTAGCGAGTATTATCCGTTTGAATGTGCTTGGAATTGTTCTTACAGGTCAAAAGCTATGCCAAGAACTATTTGGATGACATGCACACAAGCAATCATGATACTTACCTACCTTTTATTTGCTTCTTCTCTTAATGGAACTCTCTACATTGCAACTGCTCTACTTGGTATCTGCTATGGTGTTCAGTTCTCCATAGCGATCCCCACGACTTCAGAACTGTTTGGCTTGAAGCATTTCGGGCTAATTGTCAGTTTTATAGCACTAGGAAACCCTCTTGGTGCTTACCTCTTCTCGGGCCTTCTTGCGGGGAAATTGTATGACAATGAGGCTGCAAAGCAGCATAGCGACACTTGCATTGGTCCTAACTGCTTTAGGGTAATGTTCCTAGTTTTGGCGGGACTTTGCTCTATCGGTTGTCTTCTTAGCGTACTTCTGACGGTGAGAATAAGACCTGTTTACCAAATGCTTTATTCTGGTGGCTCGTTCCGGCTGCGACAAAGCTCTAATCATTGACCTATTATTTTGGGAACTTTCGGTTGTATTTCAAGATTGGACTGCTCTCACTTTTACAACTGTGGAGTAAAGAGTAAAATATGTTGTTTGATCATCACGACTCATATGTATTGTTATACTGTTCTTTTACATTGTTATTTTATGCAACTCAGTTGGATAGAATAGATATCAGGCATCGGATATTCCACCTAAGGGCTATAAGCTTTGGACTCGGTTGTTGATTTGTATGCCTAAAGGCTAAAGCTTGAAACAGCTGAGCTATTATTATTATTATTAATTTCTTGGTGGTAACTGGTAAGTAGTGTTGTTGTTGTTGCTGCCAATATTAAAAGCATGAAATAGATAAGGATTGGAAGGCAGTTTACACTCTAATTTGCTTATTCCTTTAGTATGTTTATCGGGTGTATGAACATAATTTGATTTATGTGACTATATTAGACGTTATTAACATTTTTTTTAATCTTCATGGTAGTTTAGTAAATTAAACAATTTCAGTAATTCAACTAAGTAAACAGCTTCAACTGATTACTCTCATTGCCTATATTTCAAGGCTGGAGACTCATGCTCCCACTCTTATATGGTGCGTTTTGCAAAATTTAGTGCATATCATGATATCAACATACATGAGCTTGCATTTTCTTTCTACTTAAAGCATTAAAATAAGAGTGGTGCATTTTTTCAAGTATAGGTGGTTGAGTACTTTGCATCTCTTATAACACCTAGTGGAGAAGTGTATGTGACTCCATCAGATCTAATGTGGGCTGTAGTTCCAGTATTTCCTCCATCTGAAGCAAATATGGTTAGAGCTGAATATCTGAGAGGGGAACTGGCTGATGATGAATATATGACTCCATTATCAGTCCATATACCGTGCAACCGGTGCATGGTGAGCACCATGCTCCCATTGTTATATGAAATGTAAGTTATGTAACTCGTGTGATTCCACATGTAACTTCAAGTTAATCAAAATGTAAATTACACTCATTCACATGTAACTCATTATAATGTAAACTGTTGTGATTGAAATGTGGTTGAAATGTAAAACGCATTTACAAAGATGTAACTCCATGTGTACACACACATAAACCAATTACTCGGTTACTCCATCGATCAACATCAACATAATGAAGATATTTATATTAATCTAAATTTGATTAATAGGCAACCTATTAGATGTGAAGTCAAAGCAAAAAAAAAATTGCTTTCAAAGCTTCTGCGTAAATTATCTCAATGATGCTAGGTTTATGGGTTACGGCTTTATTCATCTCTAGCATGTTCATCATGTCAGCAGTCCATAGATGCAATTGATGCTCCATTCGGTCATTCCTATACTGCTCTTTGATTAGCGAATTGAGTTCTTTTGGTCTAATCCGTATTGATGCTCTCTTTTTATTTTCCGTATTTGGACCGGCATACCATGTGCATGGTATGCCCGTCGTAGGGTATAATTTGCGCTCCATTATGCTCATTCAAAGTTTTTTTATGCTTCTTGACACCTACAACGATAGGGTTATATCTTTTCCAGAGATAGTCCTTTTCGAACTCTTCCTCACCCCGCCCCCAAAAAATGTGGATATGGTAGTAATTCCCTTGATTTTTCTTCTTCTTGCAATAGGTATCTCTTTTTTTGTTTCAAATGTTTGACATTGACAATGATGGGTAAGCACTAGTTTGCCTCATTTTAAACACCATTTGTCAGTGGTTTGCTTCAAGGGCTGTATTCTTAAAGGATTCCACCGATTTAGAGTCAGTCATTGAAATATCAAAGAGAGGCAGATGACTACAACATTTTGACTAATTATGAAGGCTAGTATTAAGGCTTTAGGTTCAATTCAAAAAAGTTCACAACATAAAATGAGTAGTCTAAGATCATATATGCTACTACATAGTTTTTTTTGTTTTAATTTAATGTTTGACTAGTATGATCAAATCTTGTAATATGTGTTCTCTTTTTGGAGCCACAAATCCACAATTGGATTGAGTTGCTTGTTTGTGTGCAGAGCAATTTTGTTCACTCTCATGAAAGAGAGTGATGTTCACCCCATCCCTATGACACTGCCATGTGACATGACAACACTTTTAAATTCTGTAAGAGAAAAGGGGCAAATAAGGTCATGTACTAACCAAAAAAGGTCAAATAAGGCCTTATTTAGGAGGTTTTGTCTGGCCATCGCCATTTGAGGTGGTTCCCGGTGGAATTTTTTGATGAAATTGTTGGAGAATCTTATTCATTAAGTCTAGTTTATTCATACCAAATTTCAACTAAAACTTTAATTGGGAAGACATTCAAATGAATTCTTGAAGATAACTGCACATTTAAAAGCGCAGTTATATTCAAGAATTCATTTGAATGACTTCCCGATTGAATTGTTAGCTGAAATTTGGTATGAGTAAACTAGACTTAATGAATAAGATGCTCAAAAAATTTCATCAAAAAATTCCACCGGGAACCACCCCAAATGGCGACGACCAGACAGAGCCTCCTAAATAAGGCTTTATTTGATCTTTTTTTGTTAGTACGAGGCCTTATTTGCCCCTTTTCCCAATTCCGTAATCGTTATAACTTTTTCATTTGTTGTCCAATTTTAAAAAAAATCATTTTTATTTTTATTTTTTAATGATCTTTCATATTATATTAATATTGCATAGCTGAAAACAATATCTATTATGATAAACGCTGCCATGTGACATGACAACACATAGTGCCTGCAAGCTTTAGATGGTATTAAGCACTCTAATGTCAAATATAATCATATGATGCATATAAATACGCGGCTTTTTGAGCACTTCTAAAAATACATGACAATCATAAACGATAAGGAGTAACATTAACTAAGTGCACAAAATTTAGTGTTACGTTGCATTCCACCTTAAATGACATCACATATTTGTACTGAGATTCATATTCATATTAACATAAAGGGAGATAATAATGAAGATACATAAAGAATTAATTAATTCAAGCACACTTATTAATTTCTCCAAAGGTATAAGGTAATACAGAGTAGTAATTAAAAAAGTCCGTTTAGTTAATTAATCCGTTTTCTGTCATGCTAAATTAGTATGAATGCTTATGTTGAAGTTAAATTAATTTGGTGTTTCATGTATTTTAAGTAATTTTTTAAGCAATAAAAATCGCTATTAATGCTTCACTCTACTTCACAAAAAAAAAGCACTTCGTAGGATACTCCTAACATGCAAGCCATACTGTATTTATTTTTCATTTACCTTTTGAAAGCAAACCTCTTTTTTATCAATTAAATGATGGTCCAACCCAACCACACTATATGAAGTAGAAAACAACATCTCATGCTTTTAATTAATTTAATATTACTACGTAGTATTTTATGTATAATTTATTTTAAAGTTAAACTAGGACAACATAAAAAGGACAAAATTCTAATGGAAAAGGGAGGAGGGTAATATACGATGTATATACCATATATATTATGTTAGAGTAAGTGCAATTTAAAAGATAGATTTAAAATAAAATGATAGAAGAGACAAACAATGGAGTATAATCAAATCCACCTCATCGCATTTGTTCACACAAATTAATCGTGAAATAAAAATCATTAAAAGAAGTTCAATAATTATTATTATTATGAGTACTATGATAATTATAATGTAATAATTGTTACTTTTATTCATTTATTTTTGATTAATATGAGTGTTAGAGGTTAATTCTTTAAGCTAAAGATCGGGATGAACCTCTACGCCCGCTAGTTTTTATATTTTTTATATCATGATTTACTCTAGTTAAACTTAATTATCCATATATGTTATGTAACATAAGAGTGTCATGTAACATACAAGTATAATCTATGTATTGATATGAACTAACCAACATAGAAATATCAATCGGACACTAGAAGAGTGATTCCCGATTTACTCTCCTTAGAACTAAATCCATACAACTATGATGCATAACATCTAGAGGTTTACATGGTTGACAGTTGCAATATAGATCGTTGTATAGAAGAATAAATATACAAAGCATGGATGATAGAAATATATACCCGGTCTTGTATGATACATGTGATATCGTAATATTCAACGTGGGTTTATTTAGATGAATGTGAGCCGTAACGGGACTCACATGTATAAAAAAACCATGATCTCACTAATCTAACCGGAGTCGGCAATATAATAGCAATACCATACTCATAAAAATCGACAAAGAACTTATCTTGAACTCTAGTTAACGTTTAGGTGAATCCTAGTACCTTGGTCATTTTATCACATACAAGTATTATATTCATACAATAAACCAAAAAACCCTACAATTTAAACAAGTTTTCTACTTTAATTCTCAAAACATGAAATTTATAAAACAAAGTTTCCCGGTGGATCGACCCGGTATATTATCGATATTAATTACTACAATCGTCATTTGTATACTTGCAAGTTAAGCCCAATGAACTTGACAAAGAAAGTGTTGAAAGAACTTTTAAAAGTTAAAGTGATTAGTATTTAATTTAGTTTAGCATCATGTTACCCATCATCTTAACCCGAGTTTGTTCCTATTTGTTTAATTGCATTCCATTCTGATTTGTTCTAGCTCGTATTATTTCATATGATCTTTCATTGAAATAAGGGAAAGATCTTTACTCTTCTATTGTACCAACCCCGTTTACAACATACAAAAAGTGCATTACCATATTCAGTCGTTTAACATATAAATGTAGATATTGTTTGCATACTTATCATGCACGATTCATAAAAGGATATAATCTCTTTAAGAAAAGACGCATATACAGCGCAGGCTCCAGATAACTTTACAGTTGTACTTCACGAAAAGTGATCAGTGTTACGTTAATCAAGTAACGTTTTCCTTAAAATAATATGTATGATTACAATCTTTAACGCCTATTTTGAGAGTGTGAAATATGAGATTCATGGAAGTTGGGTATTGATAATTTATCGGTCTCATATAAGTCATCGAATTCCTGTATTACATGTCATCTTTGTATTTCAATTAAGTTAATTCAAAATTAAAGGTGAAATCTGACGTGAATGTTTATCTAAAAAATAATTTAATCTCGCATGACTCATGTGCCTGTAAACTTTACAGTATTAAGAACTCTAATATCGACTCATAGATATGATCATTTGATGTATATAAATAAGCGACTTTTTGAACACTACTAAAAATGCATGCCACACATAAATGACAACATTAAGGAAACCCAACTGTAACAAAGTGCAAAAGTATTATGAAGGCTCAACAGAATTTAGAGTTGCAATGCACTATAAAATAAGATCACACATTTTTATTGAGGTTCACATTAAAA